GAGGTATGCCTTAAATTTCTCCCAGGCTGTCTCAACGGTTTCGGCCACGGTGATCGCGCAACGCACTACTGAAGCTTTGTCTCGCATTGCGTTAAAGTCTGCCCGCCAAATATTTGGACATGCCTCAGCGGTAGCTTGATGACACTTAGTTAGAGCACATCAAAAGGATATGCAGACACGGTCACTGGCTCCTAGAGGACAGCCGTAGGTAATATCACTTACGAAATCGTGTGACTTCGCAAAAATGAGACACAAGGTAGACGGAAGCTAGTTGCGCATATATCTAGTCGGGAGGTCCACGAACTGATGCAAAGGCGGTTGCAATGTTAGCTCAAGGAGATCGGAACCGAAAGTGCCCACCGCCGAACTGCAAGATAGAGTTGTCGAGTAGACTTCAGGGAGGTTGAAGTCACCCAGTATTAGACACCTATTGGCAGTCTGAGTAAGAATAAATTCAATAACCTCCCTGGAGATACTTCCAGGACTTCGATATACCACTACAACCGTAAACTGAGTAGATGAAGTGCACAGAATAGTTGACAGAGCTTCAACAGTTTGATCCGGCGACTGGAACACACAAGTCCTCAACACATCAAGTTTACAACTCACTTAAAGAGCGACGCCTGCACCTTGGCGGCTAACGTAGCGATCACGTCTAGGCAGTGCATAGTCAGGTAAACACACCTGACCGTCTGTGATATCCGGGGACAGCCACGTTTCGGTGATGGCAAGTACGTCGGGACGAGATTTGTCTACAAGTAGACCCACCTCGTGTACCCTGTTCCTTAGGCTACGCACATTACTAAGCACTACCGGAAGAAACTCGGCACGACCAGCCCTGGGTCGTACGCTACCAGGAGGGGTTCTGGTAGGACAGAACTTGATTTCCGGCTGACCAGCTGAAAGCCCACAAGACGAAGGCCTTACTCATCAGCCGCCCGCCTGCTCTTGAGGCTATTGATGGCTTCCTTTAACTTCAGTCCATCTGCTAGTGGGAGGTCCGGTTGAACGCTGACATTACTACCCTTGAGTGTGAATTCAAAGCGCATTAACGCTTTGCGTTGCACCATGGTTGAGAGGACTACACGAAGTAGTCGGGGTCGCGGATTTGGCGTATCTACAGTGACGTTGCCCAATCTGGTTAGCTTCCTGATAGTGACACCGGGGAAACCATGCGGAAGCATCTTGTTGACGCAGAGCTTGAACCACTGGAGGTCATCCAGCATGCGTTCCTTTGGGAAGAGCTGCCGTAGATTCAGCAACGTTACGAAAGTTAACGCTACTATCAGCAAAAGAATTGCCTCGACGAGGCGTATTCACTCCACGCGTCTTCAACTCGATCCCAGTTCCGACCGGTTTGGCAGGTGACGCGGCGCGTTCCTTCGCCAAGTGAGCTGGAGTAATTGAGGTTGAGGCTTTATCCTCTGCCTCCAACTCCCTCACCGGTCTAGTCTTTACAGACTTTGCGGGTGTGGCCGAAGTCGACACCGCGTGTTGCTTCGCCAATGGAACTGGGGTGATTGGAGTTGGAGCTTTGAGCTCCACCACCAATACCTTAATGGTTTCAATACCTTCAGGCTTTGAGAGATCCCTACGGACTTTCTTATCCCTCTTCCTTTTATTGAGCACAGGGGCTATAAGTTCGGTTTTGATTTTGACGGCTTCCAGAAGAACATCAGTGGTCTCTTTAGAGGCATTCTGGACCGCTGGGGCACACGACACGGTAGCCATCACCTCAGTCGGATTTTAATCGACAGCAATTAAGGTCAGTTGCGCGTCTTCCTCCAATGAGCCGACATCAATAGAGACTCCCATTTGCCTCGTCAGTAACTCCACTTTGCGATCAAGAGATGAGGAAAAACCACAACTGCTGATTACCCAGCCCGACGTTGCTCGATGTCTCCTCAGTGACCTCAAGACGCGTAGATCGACGGCGACGGCATAGAAGACAATTGAACAGCATGCTAGCGCTAGTCGAAAGCATTGCGTACTGATCAGGGCACAAATCGGTACAGGTCTCATGGTACCAGCAGTTGCATACATAACACTGCATGCCCCCAGACTCGTCCGCCAAGGGCTTTGAGCAGCTCACGTTGCCGCAAGCAGCATTAGATTCGCTGATCAACGTAGCCGAAGACACATTAACGCAGGTATTCAGTGAATCCGATATGACACTTTCAAAGGGTTGAAACAAGTATCAAAACGTAAACCGACAAGCTGTTACCTGCAGGGCAGTCAACAGAAAGAGTTACGGGTTAAAACAAGGTGCAAAACGGATTAGAAAACAATAATACCGGAAAAATAGCCAGAGGCTGAACCCGAAGAAGATGGACGACGTTTGGTAAGTACCCGAAAACGGATACGACCTCATACAGGGAAAATGATGATCCAAAATTATTTGGATCAAGCGAAATTTGACAAAAGTCAAATTTTTGAACGGCACTTGTAAACACTGTTCCGAAACTGTCCTTTGAAAGTAAAACCTCTAAAAAAGGTTGGGTCGGAGTAGAATGAGGGTTCAGGAGTGGCAGTCCGGCGTGGAAGCGTCGACTGTTTAATGTAGTACGGCAGCGGATATAGGAAAAAATGATAGCCGAAGTAATGTATCGTGGCAGACTCATATAGTTCAGACCAAATATCAGGGACAAGGCTGCAAATCAACCCTGTATCGTGTCAGAGGATGACACCGTCCAGGTTGCTTGGGACAAGTTCAAATCCTTTCTTTGCGAGATTTCCCTCCCCCACATTCCAATCTCAGCGAGGAATAAAGTAGGGGCAAAGCCCCCTTGGTTTGACTCTGAGGCGCGCAGGATGCTCAGTAGGCGATCCAGGTGTTGGAGGACTTACGTATCAGCTCCCTCAGAATGTACCCATCATCGCTACCGAGGCGTGCGAAATGCATGTAAACAACATCTGCGGGCCGCACGCTTGAGATATGAACTAGCACTAGCTCGATCCGCATCAACAAACCCGAAACAGTTCTTTGGCTATGTCAAACGGAGATGCAATGCAAATTCGCCTATCCCTGTGCTCCTTGGACCTGACGGCACTGAAGTATCAACCGATCAGGCCAAGGCCTGCTTACTTGCAGAACAGTATGCTAGGTCGTTTGTTCATGAGTCTCCATTGCCTAATATCCAATTGCAAGCAAAGATACCAGTAGACTCCTTTCTGATGGACCTTTCCATCTCGGAAGCTCAGTTACTCAAGCTCCTGCGTGACCTAAATCCCACAAAAGCTGCCGGGATAGATGCCCTCCATCCCAAACTTTTGTACGAGCTGGCTGGGTTGCTGTGTAAACCGATTAAGTGTATATTTGAGAAGTCTCTTCGTAGCTGCTCCCTACCTGCTAACTGGAGAGATGCTATCGTGTGCCCTATTTTAAAAAAGGGTGATAAGCACTTACCTGAAAATTATAGACCAGTTAGCCTAACAAGCGTACTAGTGAAAGTATTAGAGAAGCTTGTAAGAGATGCTCTGGAAAAGCACTTAGCTAAGTTCAGTTTGCTCAACCCGTTTCAACATGGGTTCCGCAGAGGCCACTCTTGTTTGACTAACATGTTGGTAGTCCAAGAGTGCTGGGCGGAGGCTGTGGATCAAGGACAGGCAGTGGATGTGTTGTTCGTCAACTTTTCTAAAGCCTTTGACACCGTACCGCATTGCCGTCTTTTGTTTAAACTAGAATCCTACGGCGTTTCAGGCCAAGTATTGAAGTGGATTTCGGCTTTCCTGGAAGGAAGGTAGATGAGCGTCCGAGTGGGTTCCGGACTGTCTTTCAGACAAGCCGTTCTGAGTTGTGTTCCTCAGGGGTCGGTTCTCGGACCTCTACTGTTTGCACTGCATGTCAATGACCTCCCTGAGAAGCTTAAGGTACCATCACTTATGTTTGCGGATGACTTAAAGTTTTGGAATACAGTGAGCGATTCTGTTGGACCCACGGCTTTACAGACAGCTCAACAAGCTTTGGGAATGGTCAGAATTGTGGCAGCTGCCAGTCAATCTTGCAAAGTGTTCGGTCCTGCGCATAGGATCAAGCACTTCTACGACTTCTTACGTACTTGGCGGAAATGTATCGCGTCAAGTGACTGAACAAACCGACTTGGGTATCTCGTTATCCTGACTTCAAATCCAGCGAGAACTGGACAAATGTTACCCGCAAGGGTTTCCGAATGCTGTGGATGATCCGCAGGTCATTCGGCATTATAACAAATGAAATGTTCGTAATATTGTTCTCAGCCTTCGTCAGGCCATACTTGGAGTACTGCGTGCAGGCCTGTCCTCCACGCTTGGTACGCGATGACATTTGAACGAGTCCTGAGGGTTGGTACAAAAATGGTACAAGGATTGAGGCATCTCTCGTGTCCCGATAGGCTGCTCAGATTGCAGATGTTTTCGATGTACTATAGGCGCCTTCGGGGAGACTTGATTCTTACGTACCGTATATTGATCAACAAGATTGGGCCTGATCTAACTGGACTGTTCCAGCCGGCTCAGATGCCATCTCTTCGTGGTCACCTTCTGAAGTTGCATAAGCCTAGATCTGATCACGTTAGAGCTGACGTTCGTTTGTCACGCAGGGTCATCGACTCATGGAACGCACTATCCAGCGAAGTAGTATTAGCACCAACGGTGAAGGAGTTTGAACATCGACTCGACGCCCTTGGGTTACAGTTTCAGAACTTTCCGTTTGGTTCTTAACTTCTACATCTATTTCCATGGCTTCTCACATCTACTACCATAATTGTCTTAACCACACATTCTCTCCTGTACTACAATTACCATTATTTTGTTTTTGTTGATTCCCTTCTCTTAACCTTTATTCTATTCACGTGGCCGGTACAGTGGGGACTGCTAGTGCAGGCCGCGTGGGCATTGATTGGTTGACCGTTATGTGATTCGTGTGTATTGATTTGGCTACTCTCGGATTCAAATCGCTCCCGCGAACTCCATCCTGGTTCAACGACGAATTGAAGAAGGAACACACATGGGAATTCTCTTACCGTTCCTGTCCAAATTGAACTTGAAATTGAATACGCATCCATTCGTCAAACTCAGAGCACTGTACGGCCTTAGAACGCGTGGTCACACCTCTGCATCTCAGGCATTTGGTCATAGCTAATCTTGGATCATGGTTTGTAGAGGCAATGGCAGTCAGTACGTACTACTCAGAACCCTTCCACTCGCTAAAATGAAGGCAAAAACAAGATACGAAAACTTAGAAAGGACGACACTATTCGCAGTTGATGAAAGCAGGCAGAGAGGAATTCGGAAACTTTTTCAAGTTCAGTTGGGACTTGAAGGATGGGAGAACTCCGTGTGTTCCGCATTGAGCGGATCGTTGAGCCAGGAATCAAAAGTGCTAAAAATATGAAGGCTTCACGATTTTACCTGTCAATCTTATGCAGATGCCATGCTAATCTACTCTGTATCGTACCGAATTTAGTATTTGCATGCTACCGATAATTAATATTAGCAAAGTGGAAATGCTATCTATATATAGGAGCTAAGTGGTAACCTTCAAACGTTTGCAAATTTATAACGTTGACTTTATAACTTGTATATTTACAACCTGTTGTTAGAGCTTTGTAACTTTATTTTTATCTACATAACATTTAATGTTTATAACATTTATAGCTTTAGAAGCATTACCACTTAATATATCTTAGAAAGCCAAACCTTCCTCACAATATTATGGCTTCGTTTTGCAGTTCCGCTTGAACGGATGTACTGAAGCTGCTCACCCGTATGCTAATTCCTGCCACTCACGAACATAGCGGTCCGCAATTTGGGATGTTTCGTTGCCTTCTAATTGCGAATAACAAAGAAGTGGTGTACCATAGGTAAACTTCAGTATGATTGTTTGAGGACGTTCTAAACACATCTATGCGAAAAGCGTAGCAGCAACCCACCCAGCACAGCGCTGCACCGTTGGGCCCAATGTAGTGTTCGGAGCAGTTTTCGCTAAAGCTGCGTCAAAGACCGTAAGGCCTTATAAAGTGTGACCGGAAATTTCCAAAGGTGACGCGTGAACCTCTGCTACCTATCGTCGACGCCCCAAAGTGGATATCGTTACCTAGGCTTTCTACGCGCTTATTCCCTTACGCAAGCCCCAGTGCTCCTTTGTCATAATTTCCTTTAAGTACTTCTGCTGCGACACACTAGGCGCTTACAACTGCAGGAACATTAGAAGGATCTTATGCGATCCGCAGCCCCACCATTTAGTTCACGAAGCTGTGGATGGCAGTGGGATAGCCCAAGTCAACCCCCTCACCTCCGGGTCAGAGCAGGAGCATGTGTCATTGAGAACAGCGATTCCACTGGGTTGCGGCGGTTTCCGTAGGACTTTGTAATTCTGATATCATAAAACGTTGCAAGCTAAGAACCGCTTGAACCCGTTGGAGGAAATATTTTTGGTGTTTTTGAATTATTGCCCTGTCTCATTTGGATGTCGTGCAGGAGGGCAGGACAGGTGAGGATCCATTGACGAAATAAGCTTTCGCTTAACCAGCGTCCCGCTTTGTTGGTTGGTAAGCGAGAAGAGCTCTAGCAACTCGGCGTTCCAATAGATTCTTGCGTTTACGCTAGAAAAAGAAAGAAGAGCAGAAAGTCACTAAATTTTCATGTACTTGCATTGACTACTTTTATGAAGTCTGATGCTGAAATGCATCTTCAAGAGAATTCAGGGAGCAGTGCCAACCACAGTACTTTCATAATTCCTTCGGATCCCTCTACCTTTTTACCTTTCCATAATTCAGTATGAAGGTTTTCCATTTTAATTTCACAAGAGTTGAGACGAAATTAGCTATTAGTTCAAGCCTCGCTCTGCTAGTTCAACCCTAAATAAATAAATAAGTCATTAGGTTATTCGCGATAACATTAAGGGCACGCCTTATCACTCATGCTAAAAGTTTTACAGAGAAGGTTTCGCAGTAGGCACTTGGTGTTACATGCATTAATGTGGAAAGTAAATGTGAGATAAATATCAAACGTGATGTAACGGTAGTGTGGAAAGGATTCTCAAGCGCGCCCTGCAGCTTCACTTCGAGAATCTTAACATCATCTCCTGTGCCCAGCATGGCTTTCGGCGGGCACGCTCATGTACCTCGAACTTGCTTGTTGCCAGGGAAAACTGGGCGAGGTCGTTAGACGCTGGGAAACGATTGGATGTGGTTTTTGTAGACTTCAGCAAGGCGTTTGACAAGGTCCCCCATGAAAGGCTCCTTCTTAAACTCCGAGGTACCGGTGTCTCTGGGAATGTCCTTTCCTGGATCGCTGATTTTTTGAATGGCCGGACCATGCGAGTCAAGGTGAATGAAGCCTACTCCACTCCTGTGCTGATGACTAGCGGTGTTCCGCAAGGGTCAGTACTTGGTCCAGAACTGTTCAAGATATTCATCAATGATCTCCCATCGGAGCTTCAGATGGATTGCCTGGTTTACGCCGATGATATGAAGCTGTGGATGGAGGTAACCTGTCTTGAGGATGCTGACAGATTGCAGGCATCATTGGACAATCTACACGACTGGTCAGTCAACTGGCAATTGCCCATAAATTGTGAAAAATGCTCAGTTCTCCCCATAGGCGCCCTCGAACCGTTCGGGATATACCATATTGGTGGGGTGTTACTCAGAACCACCACTCTTGAAAAAGATCTCGGTGTGCTTGTCTCACATGATTTACGGACCTTAGAAGACACACTACGGAGGGTTGCCTCTGCCACCAGGATGTCCCATGCCATACGAAGAGCCTTTTCGAGACTGACTCCGGAAATTTTCAGAATCTTGTTTACTTCTCATGTGCGCCCGATCCTTGAATACGGACTACCCGCCATCTGTCCTCTTACCAGGTTCGAGTGTAACATGATTGAGAAGGTACAGCGGCGTGCCTCGAAATCCATACTGGAGTTAAGGGACTTGCCTTACCCTCATCGACTACAGCGGATGCACCTGTTCTCCCTGGAATATCGCCGACGTAGAGGTGATCTAATTTTTACTAGGCGAATTCTGATGGGGGAAATGGGGACGGAGCTACAAGCGTTCTTTCAAGTCAACACTAATAGTTCCACTCGGGGGCACAACTGGAAACTATATAAAACCAGAAGACTCAGAGTTCGCTCCACTCTTGCTCTATCAACCCGCATTGTCAATGACTGGAACGACTTGCCGAAACATGTGGTCGACGCGCAATCGGAGGAATGTTTCAAGCGATTTTTGGATTCACACTTGATGAGTAAGCTGGGACCTTGCTTCTTCAATGTAGCTGTTACGGCCCCTTGTGGAATACCGTCTCGTAGCGACTCACGGCATCCACGCAATGATCGGGAAGTGAAGGAGCTGACAAAGGACTTTCCTTCTGCTCTCTACAATCCAATGATCCAATGATCCAATGATCCAATGAGTCCGTGCGAAGGTAGCGTCGTGTGGAATTTTGTAGGCCGTGACCTTATTATGATCCGTAATTACATAAAATACTGCATGATAACCAATAACTTATTGGATGTGTGCGTCTAGATATATGTGGACATTGTGAGTGAACTTGTGACATGTGAAGTGTGACTGATTTTGTGAGTTGGTTTGACATGTTCGCCATCGTATGAAGGGATCAATGGAACTCTTTGAATTCAATAACGTTTATATAGTTGGAAGCCTCCGGCGCGGGAAGAGGCAGGGACTTCATCTAGTGGGAAGTAACCGCCAAGTAGCATTGTTTTTAAACGGACCTTTGTGGCTTTCAATATGGTGAAAGCTTGCAAGGCTAAAACCACCCCACTTCCTGAAACACCACCGCCGGACCAAGCGCTGGAACGGAGTTAACCCGTACTATGCAGCTGGCACCACTTGGAGGTTGTTTGATCCTCTAGCCGACGTAGCTGGTTCCAAGAGATCGGTTAGCCTGAGGCCGCTTAAACCCTTCATGACCTTGAAGCTTGCTATCTATTCCCCACTCAAAGTGATCTCCTCATTGAATGCAACCAAGCTGGCTAACCGTTAATCCCCGCTGGCCTTCTAGTATTTCAGTGGTCAGTCCTGGCACTTCTCAATAAAATTTTTGTCCATCCGCAAGAAGTGCGCTCAGGTTTGAACACATTATTCCAGATATTGTCTGGCCACTGATTTATACAAGGTGAGAAGGACCTCTGGCCGGGTACAATACAGCGCTCTCCTAAGTCGAAATAACTCTTGATGTACCTTGTTAGCGGCTTACTTACCGTGCGCCGAATACTTGGGGTTATTTATTACGATGATGGCAAGCCCACAGCTTCGCTAGCACAGCGCATTGTCAGGGACCCGACACGTGCTGGCAACAACATATGTTCGCCTTGCTAAATCAAACTTTGCCATATGTCGACGTTTGAGGGCACATACCATGGGAGTGACCACTAAGCAACGGTATCCAAACTTATAGATAGGGTGATTATGGCACTATTGCTAACAAATTCGATGTCATCAGTTAAGTTCTAGGAGCCTTTCCCCAGCAAAGCGGCCCAGTCGTACATGAACATTAGGTACATTAGCGGGCCCAAAACTGGAACATGTGGACTCCACTATGGGCGGTACCTGTGCTCGAAATACCATTTCCAATACTTACACTTGAGGTCCTATAGCATAGGAACGTCGACAGACGAAGAAATAAGTTGAGGTGGTTGTCCAAACCTGGTCATCTTTCCAGCAAAAGGAGGTGGTTTCCTAAGCCCAAGTCTTTACTGAAAGCAAGCTATCATATTTCTAGCCGAATCGCGTCATCAAGACACCGGGTAATTTTATCAAGGAAACACGGCAGGTATGTGCGGCGACTTTCTCCTAACAAGTCCATGCTGTTCGGCTATGAGAAACTAATGAGAATTGAGGTGCTCACAGATTCTATATCTACCCATCCATCACAGCGAACCGTATTCATCAGGAACAAATCAGGACCACGCACGAGCTGGACTCCGGAGTGAGCGGTTGCGAGATAGTGGACGTTAAACAAACGGCGGCCAGAGCAAGTGGGACGATTATTTGGACCAGTCAGTGTATGACCCCACTGACGCGCGACCTTGGATCAGCTGATAAGCGGTAACCAATCAAAATGTACCGCTACCGTTTACCCTATGCAAGCTTCCATCCTTTGAAAAAGGTCACCTATTGCAGCAGCCTGCTTATCTGATACTTACCGCACTCCCTACAGTGAATATTTGCCGGTGCAACGAAATTGGGAAGGCACATGTTAATGACGCAGCTCTTAACCCCTACCTGACGTCCTTTGTACCC